AGCGGTGCCAGGTAGTAGCGAGGTCTTTCGACTATTTCTCGTTCATATGTAGTCGATTTACAATATTAGAATCAACATGTCATCTGCGACTGTCAGGATGGCGTCTAAGAATGAGTCAGGGGTCTTCACGAGGCCGTTGCCAGTAGCGGCAATGGCGCTTACAGCTGTGGGGGGAGTTCTCACTGCATGGTTCTACTTGGGGATAAAAGGCCTCCCTAGGCTGTGACGCAGGTAACGCTTCACGTGACTTCGTCTCGACTTTGAGATTTGTTTAGGTATGCTAGTAACTGCTGCTGTCTATCAATTTTGAGCTCACAAGAGTTCACCACTCGAAGAAAAATAATTGATTGTTTATTATCACTGCCTTTTGCATGTTTAGAGACGTGACGCACCCACAAATAAGCGCACACTGTGGTCTCTTGAACTAGAAAAGTGTCGAGTTGGGGTACTATGCATAGGAAACGATGCGTTTACTACACATGTCGACAGTCAGTCATTTTGAGTGCAAACATATAGCACGTCCTTAATCATCTCTTTCACATGGTATTTGGGGGTCTGGTAGTTCGGCCGGGAGCGAGAATCTCGAGGCGTATCATAACGATCTGTTGAATAGAGATGTGGAGAAGTTTCAAGGGTTGTAGAGAAGCTTGGAAGCCCAAGACATGACATGGCGATTCTGGAGCTCTCAATACTCCTGAAGAACAGGAATATCTACTCCTGATATGAGTTTCTGGCGATCCCACTGATATGGTCTCCAAAACAGGTCCCAGTTATTGATGAATCGCATCGCATCGCAATCGCTCTTGAACTCGTCACTTGACGTTCATTGATTTACTACCTTCAAAAACCAGTCCAAAATTTAGGACCGAGGTTATATACACCTGAGCGATGCTTAGCGGATTTTCCCACATCCATCATACTGTTCAATGACGGCTCGCATCGAGGGCTCCCATGCAATACGAGGCCCTTGTATTGCATACCTTTGTTACAAGAGGCTCATGTTTCCAACAACAATTTGGAGTTGGAGTCCCGCAGCTGTTCCTAGAGTTGATGTTTAGACGGCCTGAATAATATTTAGGGTTGATGTTTAGTTGAATAGCATTCCTTATTTCCCGCACTCTAGTTACGGTATCTTGAAATGACGCTGAATCGATTCGACATCCTCATCTCAACAGATCACACAGCGTGGTTCATTCATGGTAACATATGCTGTTCGCTCGGCGTGTAACGCAAATCAGGTTGTTGCATGTTCGAGCTAGTGTAAGTGAATGAGAGTTCGCCTTCTACTATTAGAGAACTACGCAAAGAGTGACTGTTGTTCGGATGAATTGTAAAACAGAGTGCTTGCCTAAAACGGTTATCGGTAGCACACTGCTATCTGAAAGTGTGACAGTAATATACATAATTATTATTACTTAAACTAACACGACATCATAGAAATCTCATCGACAAGCACAACCCTTCCGGGTATTAATTACTTGAGCTTCCCCCCGAGCTCTAATGAAGAAATAAACTCTTCCTCAGTGAACGATAGCAATCGAGTAGCTTCCACATGAACCTATGGAAAGAGTCTTTTACTGTCATCCAGTGAAACGAGGGTTCAAACCAGTGTTGGACTAGTTGTTTGGTTCTCTCAGCTGAGCTCAGGAGCTTCCTAACTTCATTATGAAGATCTACTTTGAGTAGAAGTGCAGAATAACCAATAATAATTCCCCAAAATTTCGACATTGTCACCAACACACGTAGTCGACCATATTCATATTTCCAAACACTGAGTAAATCTTCAGCGACCATCACTAAACTTCAGCACAACACACTGCGCCTCACCTTCTGCCGCTTCAACACGTCAATGAATTTCATCTGCTTCTTAAATGCTCCAACCAGTTCAGCTCGCTGCCGTTCCAATTTACAGAGTCCGGGGCCTCTCCCACCTATCCTCTGCTGCTATCCCGAAATGCTCCATCACGAAACAAGCTGACTGACCAACTATGGTCATCTGAGAGGCACCACTAACAAGCTAAAGCTGTCCACTCCCGAAACCCGCTATGGTCAGTTGAGAGGCGCTACTAGCAAACCAAGCGGCTTAGCCTAAGCCCGCTCACTCCCATTTCAACGAGTCTTACTCCCATAATGGGAGTCCCATGCCTGCGAGAGCCTTTTGCGCTCAAACGGGTACAACTTTCTCATGAACTGCTTCTCAAGCCCGGTGGTGGGGACGCGCAGCTGCAATTTCACCCAGCCCTTATGGGTGTTTGGTTTCTTGAAGAAACTTTCTTCCCTTTCTCCCGGCAGGTGATCTGACGCTCCCTCGTATGAGACTCCATAGGACCAGTCT